ATTAAGGCAGATTACCACATCCACTTGGCATTTATGTAGGTTTCTGGGGAATCTGAACTCTGGTCACACTTGTGCAACAAGCACTTTAACCGCTGAGCTATCTCCCCAGTTCCATGATTTTCACCTGATATTTACTATAATGTTTAATGGAGTCACATAAACGGCACCAACTAAGCTGTCAAGAGATTTCAACAGTCAACCAAGCTGCCAAGGAATTTCACTGGAAAACACTATATTTGGGTTTAATTTACAAGCCAGAGAGCAGTTCAGTGGCTAGGGATGGTTAGAATGTCCATCTGGAATCACAGAAGCAAGTGAAAGAAGAAATTTAAGCACTTGCTCATGTGTGCTCTGAATGACTTCAAAGAAACCCACATCTCCAGCTCCAGTCTTACGAAGAATATGCTCTTATCGGCTGCCTGTAGTCACTCACACTGGATGAGTGGGAAGACAGACAAGAGAGGCCATTAAGAAATAGAGGAACTGGGATTTGAAAGACCTGGAATGCTTTCTTCCCGCTAGAGGCAGATGTGGAATTCCTAACTACTTGGCTTTTCCAAATTGGCAGTTCGCCTTTCTGAAATGAACATTCTGTGCTAACTTCAGAAAGAATGTCGGCAGGATCAGGGTGGGAAGGTCCGAAGCGGTAATACTTGGATAGCTGACACTTTCCTTTCTGGGGTATGACGCAGCTGTGGCCTTTGCAAAGCTGGCCAGCAAGGAACCAGCTCAGACACAGCAATAGGAGCCTTTTTCCTCCCTTGGGAGAGAGATGGATGTAGGAAGCAGGGTCTGATAAACTGAAGTGTTATCTGAAGACAGTTTGTAATGAAGAAATTAGGAAACAAGTAAGGTTTCTTTTTCTTTGCGTGTCTCTAATATATACCTTCTAAGGCATGTGTATCAGAAAGCAAAGTAAATGCCTGCATTACTCTCCTTGCATGTCCTTGTGGTAGAAAGGACAAGATATCAACACCGTACTTCCTAAAAGCTCTAGTTACCAAATGTCAAAACGCTTCAAATCCACAAACACATTTCAGACATCCACACCCCCAATCTGTGCCTTTTGTTTACCTAGTAAGTATCTACCCATGGAGGACAGAAGAGGCTGTCAGATCCCCTGGAACTGGAGTTATAGACAGTTGTTAGCTGCCATGTGGGTGCTAGGATTCGAACCTGGGTCTTCTGCTAAACAAAAACAGTTTGTGCTGATGGCTCTCAAGTCACCCTAGCTAGCCAATCCCCTTATCTCTCCCTCTACCTGAAATCCCACAAAAAAAGTAGGCAAACCTGTATTTCTCATCTTCATTAGTTTAAGCATTTAAATCTTTGACGACAGAAGCATTTATCTTAAGTAACAAAAAGGGTCCCTTTAAAAAAATCAACAGCATTCTTTCTTCAACCCTATGGAATTAAATATTTGGACTGCAATTTTATTTTTTTTAAATAAAACAATGTTGGCTTCGCCATTAGGAAGAAAACTTGTTTCTATATAATTATCTCCTTAAGGCTGGCAGATCCTGTTCAGAAACCAAATTGCAGGTCCTTCCTTTTTTGTCAGAGTGTGAATTAAAAGGAAAAACATCCTCAGAGAAAAATGGCTGCTAAAAGCATAAAAACCCAGTGTGATCGTGTACCTTGGGGCCACACCACCTAGCTTTGCAGGAAGGATAAAAGGTTTGACCTGCCCAGACATCCTCCTGTAGCTTCTGTTCCAGGTAACCCCAGATGCTTTGTTAGAATACCCAGCACCTCTGGTGATTTAGTTAAGGATAGACATGTGACTCAAGGCCAGACATTGGTTGGCTAAGGTCTTCTCAGATTCATCTTCTTGAATCCTTTCTTGACAGAATACCTGACTTTAGCCAGCTATTGCTAGTTCTTGACATTGAAGGTCAACCGAGCCTAGTATAAGCATCAGGGGCCACAGAACCAAACAGAAAACAAGCAGGAAGCTGGGCTTTCCAAAAGTACAGGATCAATCACTGAACAGTGTTAGAAGCTCCCTGATTTATGAGACCATGTAGGTCTGCACAACAAACAAAATCCAAGGCTTTACTTTCTAGTTAGAAGTCAGTCCTGCGCCAGAAGACTCACATAACCTCATCTTAAAACACCAGCCCTGATGACTGCGTCTCCAAAATTCTCCTTCTTCTTGAGTTACTTGATGTAACCTTTCTTTTTTTTTTTTTCAACTCTTTTTTCTAAATATTTTATTATTTTTATTTTATGTGTATGCATGTATTGACTGCATGTAAGTAAGTGCACCCGTGTCGTGCAATGCCCATGGAGGACAGAAGAGACTGTCGGATCCCCTGGAACTGGAGTTACGGACAGTTGTTAGCTGCCATGTGGGTGCTGGGATTTGAACCTGGGTCTTCTGCAAGAACAACCAGCATTCTTAACCGCTGCACTATCTCTCCAGCCCCTATAACCTTTGTTTCTTATGTCCAAAAAAGGCCTAGCCAGAACACCACCTAGCCTTCTTTCTCTTGCTCCCTATTCCGTGACCTCTGCCTTGCTGTAAGAAAATCTTTGGGCCATTCCCCAAGAACAAAACATTGCCAGCTTTGTTTTTAGTTACAGTACTAGTAATCATTTCATTCCAGGACTTCTTTCCCTTCTTTCTAGCTCACTGCTGCCCATAGCTGTAAGGCTGGTGGAGTGGGGAAGGGGTCACAGCTCAGAAAGAACCTAAGAGAACCCTCCATTTCAAACAATCTGGCTAGTGGTTCCAGCCTCCTTCCTTATAGGCCTCCCATGAGCTCCTGGCTTTACTTTTGGAGAACTGCACAGAAGACATCTTATTTTCTTTCAGTGCAGGGTGAGCTCTAAACACTATTACAGCAGGGCATGGTGGCATACACCTTTAATCCCAGTACTCAGGCATGGTAGCATACACCTTTAATCCCAGTACTCAGGAGGTGAATTTCCATGCTTTCAAGGTCAGTCTGATCTACATATCCAGTTCCAAGAGTGAGACACTGTTTAAGAAAAAAACTGTATTTATTTATTTCATGTGTGTGTGTAGTCAGAGGACCATCTGTGGGAATTGGGTCTCTCCTTTCATCAAGTGTGTCCTGGGGATCGAACTCCTGCCATTAGGCTTGGTGGCAAGTACCTGTCCCAACTGGGCTATTTTGAGGGCCCCAGGTTGAACTTCTGACAACAAAAACGTGCTTTCCAAAAAGCACCCCCTCCACTGTTACTCCTTGAGAGGTGATTTTAGGGTCCCTCACTATACTGGCAGCACCCTTCCTCTGCCAATGCCCCAATCCCACTTCCGTTTCTCAAGTTTCTATCCATGATTAACTGCTTGGCCTGGATCCTGCCTTCCAAGGAGATCAGTTCAGACCAAATCCAGAAGAAAGCAGTGCAGTGAAGGGTCAGAAACACAGGGTTTTAGAATCGGATGAAGCCAATTGTGATTTCCTGATTCACCATTCATTACCATGGACACTCACATGGGATCCAGTCTCCTTGGTGTGATGCCCTGTGTGTGTCCTGTCAGCACAGTACTCACTCTCAATGCGGCTGTCACTGAGTTTGGCATTCAGAAAGAGCTGTGTGGTTTGGACAGGAAGTACCCCCTACAGGGCTCAGGTGTACAAGACCCCAGCTGGTGGTGCTACTGAGAAGTGACAGGGTCAAGAAGGAACCAGCTATATCAATGGCTTAACACACTGATGAGTTACTTTACAGCTAAATAGGCTGTTGGGAGGTGGGCCAAGCAAGAGGAAGGAGGTTGCTAGAGATGTGCCTTTGCTGTCCAGTCCCCAGTCATTCCCACTGCTCCGCACTTGCTGATCAGCTGTCTTCAGCACACTCTGCTGGCTAGACCTAGAGCAATGAAGCCAGTAGATCATGAGCTACAATCTGAAACTTGGGAGTCAAAATAAATCTTTCTTCCTTCAAGCTGGTTGGTTCAGGTAGCTGGACACGATGAGAAAGGGAGCCGAGCACAGAGCTCGGTCAGAGGTGCATTTTCTTCTACCTCTTTGAGTATAAGGAGCTCTTTCCTCAAATGTGGGCCGGCTGAGTGCTCAAAACATGGTCCCACAGACAGACACCGTGGCATTGTTACCAGCTGTGTGATCCCAGGCAAGTTACTTACCTTCCATGGTCTTCTCATCTCCTCCATAAAGTAAGTATATAAATAATACCTACTTTCTAAGACTATGGACCATGAACATTAAATAGGGAAACACAGAGCTTGGCTGTATTGTGTCTTTGATATATCACCATGGACTAGCTGTTATTTCCTCAAGACCAAATTCTAAGCAAAACTTCACTTCATGCCTGCAATTTTCCTGCAACTGTTATGTAATTTGTAGCCAAGAGATCTTTTTTCAGGTTTAAAACTTTTTTTTTTAAATGCAACTTTAATTGAATTTCTTCTTTGGTGATTTCATATAGGTATAAAATGCATTCTGATCATTGTAAACCCCTTCCACTCTCTAATCTCCCTCACACACCTATTACTCCCCTCCGCTCTTTCCCACATTCATGCCTGTTTATTTGTTGTTTGTTTGTTTGTTTAGAGTCCTGCTGAGTTTGGCCAGTATTGTCTGTGTGAGCATGAGCCTGGAATTATCCATTGAAGCCTGTGGGCTCCTCAGCGGATCTGCAACTGAAGGGAAGGCTACCCCTCCCCTAGAATCCATCAGTAGTCAATAGTTCAGCAGGGAGACATAGGGCCCAGAGAGCCCCTCCTGAGTCCTAACTGACTGCTCAGGGGCCCAGTCTTGTGCACGGCCACAGCATGTGGCCACGGCTGCTGTGAGATCATGACTGCATTGTGCCGGGCCCGGAAGACAGTGCTGAAAATCACATTTTATATTTTGTTCTTCTTGGATTTAAAAACAGACATTGGAAAGATGGAAGCAATCGATACAGAGAATTAAACAAAACCCCCGACTGGTCATACCTAGCTACGTAAGTAGGTCATGTCAATGCAAAACTAGTCAAGATGAAGATCACACACAAGGAAGAATGTTTACCTGATGGTAGGAGATGGGGACAGGTTTCCGGAAGACAATCCACTCCACAATTTCACTGCACGGAGGGGTGGTCAAGGAGCCTGTATAACGGTAGTAGCTCCCCAGAGAGGCAGGCAGGAGGTCCCGGAGGATGAAAGGATCCAGGAAGGTCTCCTTCTCTGTTTGGGGAGATAGGCAAAAAGAAAACAATTGTAAGCATATCACACCTCAGATGAATAATCAAAGCACACAGGCCCCCTGGTACCCCATCCAGGCCTGCGTCTGTACTCCTAGAAACATGGTACTGATACAAGCACACCCTACCATTTCCTAAGGACAAGGTTCCAGAATGAGCAAGGGAGAGCAGCATGGCGGACCCTCCCGCACCCCAGGAAACAGAACACGTCAGCATGGTGAAGACTCTGAGTCCTACAGAAAAGGAAACAAGCGGACTTTGTCTCACTTACCCTTTCTTACTCTTGCTTTACAACAGAAGCTTTCTCTGTCTAGCACCTGTGAACTGATAACCAGTGGAACAAACTTCGGGGCAAAATGAGAGAAATGCTATGAAAAACAACAGAAGCCTAGGCCTGCAATGACTTCTGCTTCCCAAACTGGCCACACTCATGAATTCAGTAAAGGTGCGATGGTTCCATTACGAGCTTGACTGAATCAAGCAGCATAATAGGACAGTACTGGAGCACACCTTTGGGTGTGTCTGTGAGGATGTTTCCAGAGAGAATTAACGGGGGGGGGGGGGGGGGGGGG